AACAGTTAAACAAACCCAGGGTCAGCTCTGTTTGCTACAGTCTATTTCAAAATACCTGTGGTCCAACTTATCGTTCTGCGTGAAGCGCCGCGCACACCATCAATTTACATGCGCAATAACTTACATGAAGCCAATGGATGTGTTTTTTCGCGTTTTATGCACCTCTTCACGACAAATAAAAACATTAAAACGCCCGTCAATTTATTGGAAGGTCATGCTGCATGTTAATTGGTTAAAATTATCCACCACGTTTGTGCAACTAGGGTCTCTCACCCACGTGTTTAGTTCAGTGAAACAATTACAAGCGGCTTTGACTTATTTTCTCCTATGCACTTATCACACATTAACTTATAATAGATCAAGTTATAAGCCGTTTCTCACGAAATCGATGAGACATTTTAACTGTGTGACTTTTTCCATTTGTGGCCCAACTATGTATTCCTATCTTACATATAGATTTCGGTAAGAGCTCCTCGTGGGTTCTTCGAAGGGTGCTCATGTATTATATCCACCTACTTACAACATTTCAGTAATCCTCTTTATAAGTCTTCTGTTTTCCAGCGAAAATTCTGCTACAACGATCTATGAAGAAACCAGCTCACCAGTCGCAACCCTAAAGAACACCTTCGGTTTATAACGCACACTCAAACCCTCCCTATATACAAACGCTCTAAATGGACATCGAGGGCATGGGTGTGCCTCTTGCAGATATAACGTGACAAGTAAACCTACAGCCTCCTCGGATGCCGCCATTAACCGTCAACATAAGCTTCATGACATACCAACTGCTGGAACAGTGCGCAGAAAGTAGGATCGGCCTCGACACCATCTCCGACAGCCTGCCAAAGTTCTTTAAGATTAAGCACACTGAACTCCGGGAATCATGCTCAAATTCAATTAATATGTTGAAAGAAATATACGACAGTAGGATGGCACGCGCCACGGAAAATTGGACAGACTCCCAAGCGTTCACGACAAAAGGTTTGTTAAACCGAACTGCATACCCCCTCCTACTCCATTCAGTCTTATCTCTTCTCCTATGCTAAAGGACATCTATCCTGGATAACTGCCGTAGATCGCCGTCGAATAGTTAACTGAAGGAAATCTGCTAAACATACGCCAGTGTCCATAGCCAGCGTCGACTAATTATTGCAGATGATATGCAGCGGAGTGTAGACCACTTCGCCTGCAAATTTTCTTTTCTTAGCCTGGCCAAGAGCGCAGATAAGACAGTGGTCATGCGCCCCTCGGTGCCAACAACGAAACACGTTTAGCGGTGCTGCAGCCCA